CACCCACCCCGACCCCGCCGATGCCACCAAGAGCATCGCCAACAACATTCCTGCCGTCAACGCCCAGATCGCCTTCATCGCCATCTTCATCTTCTGGTTCGCCTCCACCTGGGGACCCGGTGCCTGGATTCTCATTGGTGAGGTCTTCCCTCTGCCCATCCGCTCCCGCGGTGTTGCTCTGTCCACTGCCTCCAACTGGCTCTGGAACACCATCATTGCCGTCATCACCCCCTACATGGTCGGTGAGAAGCGTGGCAACCTCAAGTCCTCCGTCTTCTTCGTCTGGGGTGGTCTCTGCACCTGCGCTCTCGTCTACACCTACTTCCTGGTCCCTGAGACCAAGGGTCTTTCCTTGGAGCAGGTTGACAAGATGATGGAGGAGACCACTCCCCGCACTTCCGCCAAGTGGAAGCCCCATGAGACCTTCGCCTCCCAGGTCGCCCGCAACGGCGTCCTCGACAAGGTCCACGTCGACAACATTGAGCGTCGCACTTCCAACGTCTAAGTGCGCGTCTATCTAATGTTCATTTTCACTTTTATCTATACCCCTAGTATACTACCCGTCTTACCGGGTGAATAACCTGGGAGGCATCTCTGAAGTTGGATCCGATTTGGAAACATCTTAACAACTTGTAATGCGAAATGTTGATGTGGAATGCATGGCGCGTGGGGGATAACATAGTCGTCACGATTGTGACTAGTTTACACTACCGCTCCAAGATAACTATTAATACAACTAAAAAAGTTGAATACGAAATTCTCCATGTCCTTCCTCGTGTGTCTGAGTGATGATGTGCATGGCGGTCTGAGTTCTGCACGGTGAACAGCAATCTTGCAGAGCAACGAAAATAACAAATCATTGGAATAAGATGACAAGCGCATCCATTATTCATGTACCCTGTTGGGTACCTTTTCCGGCACCACTCGTGGCACTACGTCGGGCTGGGGCTTCGGCAAATCGTGGTCTTGTCTGGACTGGGGCAAGTTGAGCGGGTCTCGGATCTCTTGGCTGCATTCTGCAGGGACGGGGCTCCCGAACTGCAGAGCAAACTACACTTGCGGATACCAGGTCACTCCTTCGAGATTCGCGAACGCCATCTGTCACGAAAACTACGCGGGCAATGTCAGATGACTCCTTAGGCGTATATATAACGGTAACGGATCGCAAAGTGTCTTTTGGCTCAGGCACATGCGTGCCCTTCATTTGGGTTACGGAGAGGCAAACGTACAAGGTAGTCACCAATCTTTTGCGTGGGTACGTGTGGCTGTCGTCGAAGAGAGTGAGGTTGCCGGCTCTGGTTTCATGGGCTCGGGTGCCCTTCTCAGCCTCCTCACAGGCGAGTTCAGGTCTGTCACATGTGTAGCTGCCCGTAATCACGCCGTATCATCTAACCAAGCTTGCACTGGTAGTGTTGAGTACCCCTTGGGTCTCGGCGACTATTCGCACTTGATGACTTTCCGGAGACACCACGAGGGGGAGCTTCCTTAGGACAAATGTCTAGTAGCTGGGAGATGTATGAATCTCAGTTGACCGTCGATGAGCGTGCCCTTCATACGTTCTGCGTGCTAGCTCAAGATCTACCCCGAGGGGTGCGTATCATAGTCTACCCAGTAGAGAGTGGTTTGGCCAGCTCAGACTTGCTTCAACACAATTTTACCAGCCTCTACCTACTGTGCGGCATCATATTGCCCGAATAAATCTCCTATAACTCTCTAATCGTACCCAAAGTGTGCCGAAGACCAATCTTTCGGGAATATAAAATATCGACGTCATTTCTCGAAAGGACGTGACGTATAGACATGTGATTCGAACACGCATGGCCCTTTCTTCAGAAGGAATAGCCTTCTATGTACCTACGTCCAGGTTAAACTCGAGTGCCATGCGGCGCCCAAGGTGTCTCATACCGCCACCCCGGAACCCACCTTTTGTTGCACCCTATGGAAGAGCCGCTGGAGCGTCTCCCGCATGCGCTCGAGATCACGCGCCTCTCTGCCCCATCGCCCGAGAACCCTCAACGCAAGCCGCACGAGAGAGCTCCAGTTCGAGGGCGGCTCTACAAGGCGGTTCCCTGCCGCGACGACTGCGAGGACCATGACGGCGCAGGAAAATGCGCGGCGGGCGACGAACCAGCTTCCGCCGTGGCGGTGGTGGTGCGCCGTTTTGACGATCATGGCGGCGCAGGTATCGACGGCTTTGTGAGCGAGGTGGATTACGCGCGGGTTCGTCGGGTGATGCTGGCTCTGGTCGTGTTGGCCACGGGCCTGGGTTCCCTGGAGGGCGCAGTAGAGGAGCGGGCGGAGGGTTGATTCGCGCCATCCTTGGAAGCGACCTTGGAGGTAGAATGCGAGTTCGTTGTCTGGGTAGTCGTGCTCGGTGAATTGAATCAAGGGTGGAAGATGGGAGTGTCTGGGAGGCGTGTAAGTTCGGCATTCGACTGGGGTGGTTGCTGTGCTGAATTCCTCGGAAATTTATTCGCGCTGCTTTGAGGTCCGCCAAGACTGGGGAAATCAAGTTGGGGACTCAGGTTGGGGGAACAGGAAAGTACGGATAACAAGAGAAGGCGGGGCAGAAGTAACTAACAATTGCGAAATTTCCTTTTCAAACTCATCGTATTGTCGGATTAATAGATCCTCGTTCCTCAGCCAGTAGGCCTCGCCTTTTCGGTATAACACGGACATGGTGTTTTTGATCGTCCGCCGGAGGGAGATCTCGGCGAGGTAGTAAAGCCAACTGCGTTCTTCTTCCAGGCGTTGTTGAGAGTCTGAGAGTGGTGACCAGGCGTAGTCTGAAGGATGGGCGGGTGTCTCGTTGACGCTAATGGTGCACACCGTTGCCGTGGAGAGTGTCGAAGGAGGCGCAGGGAAGGAGTCTGGGTAGGTGAAGTCCTCTAGGCCGCTTTGTCGGAGGCCCAGAGTCGTGAGGATCTCGCTACTTTCGTCAGTGGAAAGACGCCCACCGTACGGTGACAGAGAGAAGGTGGACGCTACTCACTTCTCAGCCTTGAAGCAAGACCAAAACAGTCGTTGCTCAAGAGGCTGCGTCGGCTCTTCCCTTCCGCTGGCCCCCCTCCATGGTCGTCGTCCTCGCCGGAGCAGGTGGGCTTGCAGTCTTGTCGAGGCCTGCTGTATATAGAAGCAGGCTCGTAGTGGCCGTAGGCGGCACTTTTCGTACATGGAGGCCAGAAAGAGGCATTGTATGTCAAGGATGGAGGCACCTAGAAGGCCGATGCGTTTGGATGCTGCGAGGTAGTACGCCTCTGCGGTACCGCAGTCCTGTGGTTCGAGTATTGGCGGGAAAGGGGTCTCTGATACGTCAATTTGGGTCATGAATGCGGTTTCTTGCGGTGGGATCCAGGGAGTTGTTAGACTTGCCAAGGCGCAGGCGAGGAGCTGTTGGTTGGTATCAGTTGACTGGGTTCGAGGGGCGCTGAAGAGATGAATGGGGGACTCTTACTACAATACAGGAGGGAGAATCCCACTTGATGCCGTATTCAGTTGCTTGTTTGGCGTGGGCTAAAAGTTCGTTTCCCTCAAGAATCGGGTTCCGCGGATGGACATGGGTAAGAAATTTCCGGCAAAGGGGGACGAAAGCATCTTCTTGGATGCCTGATCCGTTGAGCGTTAAGGAATTGCTGGACTGAATCAGGCCATCATCGGTCATGTCGGTGCCGAATTCTAGAATGAAGGATTCTATTCGTGCGTCGTCCTCTGGTACGATGCCCTCGAAGACAGGCCACCGGAGCATAGACTCGCAGCGGAGGGCCGAGTACAGCGTGCGGGAAGATTCTTCGCGGTGCTGGTCATGATCTTCTATGAAGTAACCATAAGGCTCACTGTTGTTTCCATGCTGATGAATATCAGTCCTATCTGTCTGATGGGTTCCCGCTTGAGGTCCCTCAGCTTCCACCAATGCCGGCTGGTCTTTCGAGGGGCTTCTTGTTCTCTGCAGCAAATGCTTGATTTCATCTAGTCTTTCCAAGATGGCTAAACTCGCGATGCCTTCATCTTGAGCCTGGGCAGCATTGACTAATTTCTCTCTTTCTTCTTCATCTTCTTCTTCATCGCCATACACGCAGGTCGCATGGTGATGTCGACAGAATCCGCATACGGGATGGACGTTGTCGCATTTCGTCTTGCGGAGACGGCAGAACTGGCACGCTGTTGCTGCGCGTTTTCTTCGCGTGAGATGGGTTGCTGTTTGCGCTGTACGTCGTTTCTTGCTGGGTGGACCTGCTCTTCTTGAGGTCGGTGGAGGTAGACTTTCCACTTCTGGTGATGCTGATTGTGATGAAGAAGCTGCAGATGAAGCTATCACTGTGGACGACGTGTGATGTTGGCGTGTGCGTTGCGAGATTGCGTCGTCGTTGCTGATAAGGTCAGGAACGCGCATGTTTGCGTGCGTCAGTCCCGGGCCGGGAGAAGTCCGGATCAGTGGTGGATGGTCCGGGGGAAAGTTCCTTCAGGTACAGGTGCTTGCCTGTGGCGTGGTGGACGTTCCGGATTCTAGTCCTCCGAGTGGAGAACCGAGAGACGGAGGAAAGAGGGGCCCATCAATCACGACATCGGCACCCCCAGTCCCCTCCTCAATTTGCTTCCCCATTGTTCGACCCCAATTTCTTAACTCTTATTTCCGCCGCCACTCTTGTCCATTCCTAAGATGGCGATTTTTTGCACGCCACGTGGTGGGACCCGCTCCCAGCGATCGGGACGCGACGACATAAGCAGTGCATATTCGGGTCAATACCGATTCGATGGTGTCCAATCAGCGGCTATCTGAACCGGAATGACCTGCCTCACTGAGCATAGCACAGTGATCGTTTGGAAAGTGAAGGGTTTCGATGTAAGACGTTTGCTGACCATACCATGGCGTACATGGTGTCTCAAGACGAAAGTCCCTTTCACAGCTTCGAGGCTTGAAATACTTGGCTGATCCGCATTCACTGTGAATGTACTGGACGTTAGACTGAGTTGACCGCGATAAATTTCCAAAATCCGAAATCATGGCAACTAACACCAGTTGTCCTTTGGGCAGCGATAATCGATTCGGCCCTCGCATCGACTACAACTGTCGTCACTTTGATTTTACTCTTCTTTTCGAAGATGCCGTCTTTCATATCATTCCTTCCGCAGTATTTCTCCTGCTCATTCCATTTCGAGTATTTTCCATTGCGCGAACACCCGTGAAAGTAGCCACTTACAGACTCGCCTTGTGCAAATTGGTGGGTCTCGACATGCGGAATTCACTTCTACCATTTCAAAGATACTGACCCTCATGTAGGCTCTCTTGAGCATCTTGACTGTACTTCATCTCAGTTTCGTCACAATCAACACCAGTTCATCAGCCCTCCGCACGCCAGCTTCACTGGCAGCGGGAATTCTCAACTTCATCGCCGTTGTAACCGCTACTTTTCACTCATTCCTCGAAGATCAACGTTCCACTCGCCCATCCGACTTGCTCATACTCTACTTCTCAGCCTCTGCCATACTCTCACTTCCGCGCCTCAGAACGTTATGGCTCATCACCGGCACCGGAGCGTCCAGAGGTCTCTGGACTGCTATCTTCATTCTCACGAGCCTAGTCATTCCGTTGGAGTCCATCGGCAAGAAACGATTATTGCGAACAGAGTACCGAACTCTCACGAAAGAAGAAGAAACTGGCTTCTGGGGTCGCAGCTTCTTCACCTGGCTTATGCCTTTCTTTCGTCTCGGCTACTCGCGGGTCATTCACATCCGGGATATGCCGGAAGTCGACAAAGACTTAGCTGGAGATAGAGCAGGAGCAAGCCTCGAGGCCGCATGGTCGAAGCGCAAGGGGCAGAAGTTTCATGCTTTGATTCGCTCCAGCTTTTACGCCTATCGCGGAGCTCTCATCGCCGGCTTTATAACGCGTCTCTTCCTCTCTGCGTTCACGTTTTGCCAGCCGTTCCTCATCACGGCAACAGTGAGATACATGCAAACGCCCCAGACACCAGAATCTGAGAGATATGGACAAGCACTTGTCGGAGCATATGTACTTACATACCTTGGTCTAGCGGTCTCTCGAGCTGCATTTTCCCGCCACCAGTTCCGCTTCACAACGATGCTTCGAGCAGGGCTGATGTCTATGATATTCAGGCAGACCATCTCTCTCAAAGCAGATGACTTGAAAGATAGCGCTGCGGTCACTTTGATGGGCACAGATATCGAACGCATCGTCATCACGTTCAACAACCTTCATCAGATTTGGGCAGCGGTCCTGGAAGTCGGCATCGCAATATTCCTCCTGCAACGTCAAATAGCCTCGGCATCTGTAGTACCAGTCGTCATTTCTATCGGTAGGTTGTCCGAGAACTGCCCTCTGCTTCGCAACGCTGATGAAGATGCCACAAGTTTGCGCTTTTGGCGTCATTCCCGTCTCTAAGACCATCGGGAGGGCACAAACGGCCTGGATTGAACGTTTACAGAAGAGGGTGGCTGTCACGGCCTCAATGCTGGGAGATATGAAGGCTATCAAAATGCTGGGTCTCTCAAGCGTGTTGTCAACCACTATCACAGAGCTGCGGCGTCTTGAACTAAGAACGTCTGAGAAGTTTCGCAAATTAGTCCTCTCTCAGATCCTCGTTTGTAAGTTCCTTAGTGTGACTGGTCTGCTGCTTCGAAACTGACCTTTTCCCAGCAAACCTTCCTGTTGAATTTGCGCCATTCGCAACATTTGTCATCTACAGTATAATCGCAGTTATCACCAAAGATCAAACGCTGACGACAACGAATGCCTTCACTGCTTTATCTTTGATCGGCCTCTTGACAGAACCACTCTTGCTATTTTGCCAATTCGTGCCTAACATTGTACAAGGCGTGGCTTGCTTCAAGCGCATCGAGATGTTTTGTCTCAAAGAACAGGAGGGATCACTGCAGAAACAACCGACATCTCCATCGCGCTCTTCGGTCACCACATTGAACAGGACGAGTATCGAACTTGCAGACCATTCAGCCCACAATCCACCGGAAGGCTCGACAATCTTGTTCTGTAACGCAAAAATATCCTGGTCGCCTGATTCCGACGCAGTCTTTAAAAACCTTTCCTTGACGATTAAGGGAGGCATCACCATGGTCGTAGGCCCTGTTGGATGCGGAAAATCTTGCCTCATAGAAAGTATCCTTGGAGAGACATCATTCAGTGCTGGAACGAGAGAGTGCATGACCCACGGTATCGCCTACTGCGCGCAGACCCCGTGGATGATGAACGACACCGTGAGAAGGAACATCACTGGTGGCTTAGATCATGATCCGAAATGGTTCGACCAAGTTTTGTGGCTGTGCTCCTTGACTGACGATGTCAGGAATATGCCAGGAGGAGAGTTGTATAATATTGGTAGTAACGGTGTCGGCTTGAGCGGAGGGCAACGACAGCGTGTGGTGAGTCGGGAATCCCTTTCCCTAAAGGCAGGAGTGCGGCGATGTCTGACATTTTCGCAAGGCCCTTGCTCGCGCTGTCTACTCGAGACACCGAGTTGTAGTTCTCGATGACGTCTTCAGCGGCCTCGATTCCAAGAGTATCAGCCAAATTTCAAGCCGTCTCTTCAGCAAAGACGGTCACTTCCGCCGGAACGAGATCTCTGTGATTCTTGCGACTCATACCCGTAAGATTGCCCACAGGTAGAAGACAACAGTAACTTGATAGTTGCCAACTGACAGCGCCAAGGTGTACTACTTCGACATGCGGATGAGCTGATCGTCCTTGCCGATGGTGATGTCTTGAGCCAAGGTCCATCTGAGCAGGTTCTTGCTAGCTCATCTGACTTTATCACGATATCAAGACTAGAAGACGACGACAATCTTCGAAGTGGCGAAGATTCGGAGCAAGCTGACGAGGCAGCAAGACCCACGCAAATCCAAAGGACCTTGGATGCTGAGGAAGACAGGCTGCGCCAGAACGGCTCCTGGTCAGTTTACAAGTACTACTTCGAGCGAGCTGGTTGGGCAGTAGTTAGCTCGTTCGTCTTCGCCACTTTCACCGAGGCATTTTGCAGCGGGTTTACAAGTGAGCCCTCAGAGACTCATATTCGTTGTTCATGTCGCCCTAACCTACAGCTTAGATATCTGGTTTCAATGGTGGGTCGAAGCCAACGAGAAACGGCCAAATGACAACCTCGGCATGTATCTTGGGGTTTATGCTCTCTTATTTGCGATGGCATGCGTTGGGCTTTCTGTGGAATGCTGGTAAGACTTCGAACGGCCCTTATTTCTGAGATTCGGTGCCGCTGACGATACCGGGCAGGCTGCTTTTCATACGGATCATAAGTGCAACGGCTATGAGTCTACATGGTGATCTCCTGCATACGAGCTTGAGGTAGCGCGAGAACCTACATCTTGTTGCTGTCGTGTACGCTAACAACATCCCAGAGCACCTCTTAGCTTTTTCCAGTCCACTGACACAGGCTCAATCACCAACAGGTATGTTTCCCTCAACTTACAGTGAAGTCTCGAGCCTATAGCTAAGCATGGGTTGACCAACCCGTGATCTAGATTCAGCCAAGATCTCAACCTGGTTGACGTGACTCTTCCGTCGAATGCTATCAATTTCGCCTCGAGTAAGTCCTTCGTATCAAGTACACCTTCGGTCACCCTCTGGCTGCGCTGACCCTTTAAAGATGCTTGTGCTTGCATCGTCAAACTTATCATACTATGTGTTATGGGCAAGTACTTGGCGACATCTGTGCCTTTACTAGTGGGAGTGCTCTTCTTCGTTCAACGATACTATCTCCGTACCTCTCGCCAAGTCCGTCTTCTCGATATCGAAGCCAAGGCCCCAATATACGCCCACTTCCTCGAAACTCTCAAAGGCGTTGCTACTATTCGTGCCTACCAATGGCAAGGAAAATTTGAGGAGCAGGCGACAAAGCTCCTAGATATTTCACAGAAGCCCCACTACATGCTAGCCTGTATCCAACAATGGCTCGCCCTCGTTCTGGATCTTATTGTCGGGGCTCTGGCGCTCATAATTGTGAGCATGGCAACGTCCATCACCGACAAGTTTTCTCCCGGAGCAATTGGTGTTTCCATGGTCTTGGTTCTAGGATTCAACAACTCTCTTGCAACAACGATCAAGAACTGGACTGCTCTGGAGACTTCTATCGGCGCTGTGGCCAGGATAAGAGAGTTTGCCCAGACAACGCCTTCAGAGGAGCGAGAGCTGGGAAGCTCTGGTGTTCCTCCTGAAAGATGGCCAATGCAAGGTCGTATCACCTTTGAGAATGTCACTGCGAGATACACAAAAGACGGAGACGCAACTCTCAAGAACTTGACACTTTCAATCTCATCCGGTCAGAAGATTGCAGTCTGCGGGCCATCAGGCAGCGGAAAGACATCATTCGTTCTCTCGCTGCTTCAGATGATTGAAGTTACCGACGGGAAGATCTCCGTCGACGGCATCGATCTCGAAGGTCTGGAGAGAGCGGAAGTACGTTCACGAGTCAACGTCATACCTCAGGAGCCGTTCTTCATCCCGGGTAGCGTCAGGTTCAACTTGGATCCACACTCCCGCGAAAGTAGCGATACAATCAAGGCGGCGCTCGATAAAGTCGGCCTGTTAGGGAAGATCGGTATGGCAGGTGGCCTAGACAGCGAACTCCATGCCGATGGATTATCTGTAGGGGAAAGACAACTTCTAGCGTTGACGCGCGCCCTAATCGAGAAGAGCCAAATCTTGATTTTGGATGAAGCCACAAGCAGGTATGGAGTTTTCCCCAAAACTCAGACCACGCATCAACTAACACTGGTCTAGCGTCGACCAAGACACCGAAGATAAGATGCGGCGAATTATCGAGGAAGAGTTCTCGGAACAGACTGTAGTCTCTGTCATACACCGTCTTGGATTCATAGAGAAGTACGACCGGGTACTCCTCTTGAAACAGGGAGAGGTCGCGGAGTGGGATACCCCCAATGCTTTGCTAGCGACTGATTCCGAGTTCAAGAGGTTATTGACAGCTACGCAAACTTTGCATTGAGAAGCAGCGAATAAATAGGAATATCATAGAGAAAATAGGGAATCTTAGAAGTGCGTCCACGGGGGGAACATGTATTGAACTCGGGACTCCACTTATGTTTCCCCAAATCAGCGAATAACTTACGGTACTACCGAGACGGGCGGCAGGAAGGCAGCACCCGACTAATCCATGCCCTACCCGACGAGAGTCGGACAAGATTGTGGGTCAATATGGTGCGGGGTAGATCGATGCATGACAACGGTGCTTGGCCGGCCGACGAGGAGAAGGTTGATGTCACTATTCATGGACCAATTATGCATGGTAAGGGGCACTAAGAGCTATCAACTACCATTGATACACGAAAACCAAATTCACTCACGAACGAATCCAAGTCTTTAGTGGAACCACTCTGAACATGGCGCGGAAGATCAGGTTAGGAATTATCACGCCCTCTTCCAATACCAGCCTTGAACCTCTCACACAGGCCATCATCTCCGGGCTTCCTGATGTCACCGTCCACTTTTCTCGTTTTCGAGTTCTGAAGATCAGCCTAGATGAGGATGGGCTTGACCAGTTCCAGACCGATAACTTGATCTCAGCCGCTCAGCTTCTGGCCGATGCCGAGGTAGACATGATCGGTTGGAGTGGTACTTCGTCGGGTTGGCTGGGGTTCGAGGCCGATGAGAGGCTATGTGCGGACATAACTGTGGCAACAGGAATTCCCGCGACGACTTTTGTTCTAGCACTGAACAAGGTCTTGCAAGAGTTCGAAGTCAAGGATCTTGGTTTGGTCACTCCTTACACAGATGATGTTCAGGAAGCCATCATTCGGAACTATTCGCGTGTCGGAGTGAGTTGCCAGAAAGAACGACATCTTGGCCTTGCGGTGAACTCGTCTTTTGGCCGCGTCAACGAAACCACGTTAGATGGCCTGGTGGGTGCTGTGGTGGCCCAGAAGCCAGAGGCAGTGGCAATATTCTGCACGAATTTGAGAGCAGCTCAGAGATTAGCTTTCTAGGAGGATAAGCATGGGATCCTGATGCTTGATACCGTGATCACAGTTATTCGGGACATGTTGCGAGAATGCAAGGTCGATATGAAGCCACTGAGTAACTGGGGCAAGTTGTTTTCAAAGTAGTAAAAGGCTAGTGACCGTTGGTACATGCAGGTATATGTTACATAAAGTTGAGAAATATTCCTAAGGGGCTGTGAAAATGCCATGTCTTTCCGTCAAAAACATGCGCTTCATTTGAGATCCAATGGTGCCATCACAGTCCGAAAGGAAGGTTGATCGGGAGTCCTCCGCCAAACGGAATATTGACAGGAAGCCTGCCGCCGTTGTTGTTCCTGTCACCAAAGGGGAAACCTCTGCCGACAAAGGGAGTGTTATCGAAGTTAACCGTGTTCGGCCCACGTGAATCGGACGTCCATGACCAGGAGCGGCCTCCATCGCCACCAATATCGATGTTGACATGTACTCTTCTTCGCGTTCCGTCTTCATCTCTGTCATCATCTTGCTCGTTTCTTTGCTGATCCTGTGGTGAATTTTGGCGCCTCTGCTCTGGTTTTGAATTCTGACGCTGTCGGCTATTGTGTGATCTCTGAGGCTCTGGTCTCGGCTCGAATCGCCGTGGTACCTCTTCGTCAAAGGAGTTATTGCCTTCATCCTCCTCTGGTTGCTCATATCGGCGACGCTGCTGTTGCTGCTGTTGCCTCGGTTTTGGTGGAATTGGCGGCTCTCTGGGTGTTTTAATATCGCCGTACATCCCGTAGATGCTATCCTCCCAATTCTTGTTTGATTCGGGCTTCTTTTGTTCCCGGCGCGATGGGGGTGATCGAGAAAGCTTCGGAGGTTCTGTCGTCTCCTGGCTGTAGCGCGAGCTCTCATCAGTTCTGCCAGTACTGTATCTGGCGCTGCTCCGATCAAAGTTGTTGCTGTATGAGCTCGTATATGGTTGGCTCTGCTGAGAACCTGGCGGCGTTTGGCGGACAAGGGCATTGGACGGCGGAAATGGAGATTGTCCTGGGCGAGGATTACTAGAGTTGCCCATGCTCCCATTGGAGCCTGTTTTGTTGCTCATTCTTTTGCTCTTTTGCAATAAAACCAATTGTCAACCTTATTGATTGTAAGCAATAATATTGCATCACCCGTAGGCTCCGAATTTTGAAATCGAAAATCGTAAACCTAGACTACCGCATTTTATATCTTTCGCAGTTCCAAGCAAGGCCACAGTGGTCTGGTTGACAGTGGCGCCACAATCCTTCGACTCGAGATTCATGCGTTTCATGGTGTCTGATGGGGCAGGCGAGAACTTGCGTTCCCTTATGAATGGGTCGAGACCTTACGATGTTTGTGACTGGACGCGTTTGAGATTCTCCCTGATGATTCAGATCAGCGAAACATCAGACCATGACTTTTCCAATCTACCGTGGCCTTGCATCAAGAAACAGTACTAAATCAGTTCAGAATTTTTCGACCTTCGCATTGTTGGCGAACTGATTACCCCTGATGACCCGTTGTCATTGTTCGCTGTGAGGTGGTGGTTGGAACAAGGTTTGGTCCCTGGACCAGGGGTCATTCCCGTCCGATGCTTCCTGAGGTCCATCCCATCATCGACCCATTGTAAGGGCCACATCCTTGTGTATGTGCCAAAAACTGAGCGCTTCAACCTTCAATACCTTCTGATTTACAAAAGTGCCAGGTAATTTGATGGATATCACGTGTAATCGTCATGAACACTTCAGGTTCCAATCCTATTAGTGGAAAAGATTATATTGCCGGATAGAATGATTGAAACATAATGAATGACTGGCATAGCGCTCTTCCCCCCCCCCCCCTGGCCGTCTACAAGCCCCTTTTGGCAGCTGGCGACCAGCATCGGGATCGAACCCGAATGCATTTCCAACCGCGAACAGACACAGAGATAGCAATTGTCAAGACACCGTGCTGCAGAAGAGCTTTTCTGTGAACCCCAATGTGAGTGACGTCGCCAAAACCACGTTTGAGGTTCATCAGAGCTTGGGTGTCATTTATTTCCACCACATGACGAATGAGTTATCAAACTGGAACCTTTCACCGGGCTTGATGGCTAGGCTGTAGATCTCGTCCCAGCTAATTCTCCAGGGGGCGCGCTCCACCCCGGTAGAGACATCCTCAAATCCGGCGAAGACGAAGTTAGGGGCTTGGTAGTATCAGCTGACTGCGAGTCCGTTTTGGAAGCTAAGCACTAACCGTTGGGGAAGGCGGCATCGAACTGCAAGAAAAGTGTATGGATGTCGTTGAACCAAGCGGTCACAGCTACGTTGACTCCATTAATGATGAGGCCGGTGACGATTCTCTTGTAGTAGCCGTTGCCAGCCTTGAAGATGCCACTCTGGTGGTCATGAGGCCAGACTATGATGTGTTAGCGGTCTTTTCTTTGGCTGATAATGAGCGGACTGACATACCACGACGCTCGAGGGAGTTGTCGACATCATCAGAAGCTCTGGCTACGACAACTTTTTGATGTCAGCTTTGTATAGGCGCTGAAATCCCAAGACTTTCTTACCATCTGCGATGTTGACATCGCGAGTCTCGTGAGCCTGGAGGAAGCCGAGGTCAACGATGGTCCTGCCTACATCATTCATTAGATCTCAGTCATCGATTCTTGCAGGTGAAGCTCACTTTCAGGCTCCTTGTCGAGGTTCGCCTCGTTCACGTCAGGAACTGGAGTGGCTGAGGCAACAGCCAGCAGGAGAGCGATAGTAGCAGCGGCGAAACGCATGGTGAGCTAGATGAAGCGAGTGGAAGTTGATGAGATAATGTTCGAAAGTGAATGTGATGATGTGCTTTTGAATACATAGCTGTTCCGTGGCGAGCTGGAGCGTACCTTTTATACAGCATTCCAATAGAAGAGTGGTGTGGCAGCCAATGTGCCTGAAAACAGCTGCATCTTTGCAAATGCTCCGTCCAGAGCTGACGATTACTGAATTCGGGTATTGCCTTTCGACTCATCATTGAGGCAATAACTTTCATAAGCTTTTCCACAAAAGTGTAAAAGTTGCTAAGCTTTTGATCGGTCCGGGCACAATCAAAAGTTGCAAGCATCATGTTTGAGGCCTTGAGTATGCAGTAGTTGAAGTTGCGCGAGTCAGCAAAGTATGAGTTCGATATTGTCTTTGTGCTACGGGATTTCTAGCTTTTGCGGAGCGGACTCAACGGCCACTGCGGTTGCTTGCTAACTAAAAGTTCCGCACTAGTCCAACATTACACATCATTTAAGTTTCCTAGACAGGACACATAACTATGCGCATCCGTGTCTTAAGTCAGCCGCGAAAGCTCCAAATAAGTAATCAAAATTAAGTGTCCGGTTTAGTGATCTAAAATAGCAATGCCAAAGATAATCTCGGGTCTCCCGGCTGACTTCCTCTTCGTCGTTGCTTCCATTTCTTCCACTCCAGTGCTTGCTATTCTTCTGTACGAGGGACTCAAAAATTTGCGAAGACAAAAGTGCCCGTGACGTTCGCCTCACCTCTCAGAGGTTCAGAGTTCGTGTGGATACGAAGTCCTTTTGGCTAAATCGTATATTACGCTAGCACTCTTACGACACCACGCAACTGTAGCAATCAAATCCTACAGCAGTCAATAACGGGATTGTCTTCCACTGGTTCCTTGAGGCTGGTTTGACTCTATCGATTAACATGGCGGCAGCCGACATGTCTAGTAATTTCTCATCGATGTCCTTGCCGCGTCTAGTCTAGGGGATTTGTTGCGTATCTAAGATCTAGCTTTACTCACCCCTTAATCAAGCCTCAAACTATGCATACTTGGCCGTGCCATTTATTGCCCTTCAATGGCAATGACTTCGGTCTTTTCATAGCATCTGTGCTACTGAGCTACCTTAAGCAATCAGTCCTCTTATCCGGCTAGTAGCGACTAGATAGTTGGTGAGAAACAATATCCACACACTTTATGCTTTTCGTAGCCTGCACTTTGGTTAAGTCACTTGCCAATCACAACCTTTGTCAAGATGTGCCGACACCATGGTTTGAGCTGTGCTTGCGAACAAACCCATCTTAGCTTGAAATCAAACATATTAATCCAAGCGCACACGGCGACAAAAGTCCTCGTATACACAAAAGTCCTGACCGTTGTGCCCTTGTAGTTCGTTTTTCCAGCTGCCAGAAATTGCGATCCATGAAGAGGATATTTGATTACAACCCCGGCTATTCAATAGCCGTCGATGCTAATGCGAAGTACGTACGACCAACGAGAAGAAAGAAATACGGACGTCGGAATGATGCGGACTTTCTGAAGTAAGTATAATAAGACTGAAAGGCTGCCAATCATTTCTCACCACTTCAATTCATCTCATCATTCACATCAACACCCAAGTGTCTCTATACCACATTTGCATCATCCCAACCTCAGTTCCTAGTTCAAAATGAAGGTTGCCGCTGTTCTCGCCTTCGCTTTCCTGTAAGGCCGCACTCGCACTTACACTACTACAACTCAATAGCTCACACCGTCTTTAGTGCCCCCAATGCTGTTTCGGCTTGGATGTGCAACTGCCGCAACAGAGAGCAACCTAACATCAAAGTTGCCCTCAAGTTCTGCGGACCAGGCTTGGGTCACACCCGCTGCTGGAACCCGAAGACCAACGTCCAAGCGGTAGGATGCCTCAAGGTGATGCAAGCTTCGCGCAAGTACTAACATATATATAGTGTATCCTGAGCAGCCCCATCACTCAAGCTGATTGTGACGCAAAGTACGGCGGCAAGGGTGAATGGGTCGCTGAGTGTGAGCACTACACTGGCCCCTGCCCTCCCGGCATGACCCAGCAGTGATCCCTCTTTACTGCACCAAACATATGTTTCAGAACAGCATCAAATCCACTTTATGACTGGTAGAACATGCACCTCAATACATACAAAACTTGGATTTTCTGAATGGCTTGAATTCCTTAGGGTCTTTCTCAAAGTGAAAGATTCAATGTTTTTCCTAGCTAGTGGACGTAGCTGTTGCCTTATTTGACCTCCATGGGAATCTCGAATCACCCTTTCTAGCCTCTCTGGCAGTCTCATGTGCTACATAGTCTGACAAGGATATGCATCAAAGGGGCATCTTCAGCTAGCTTTTTACTGTGTGCAGACCAGGAGGCATGTCAGACGTTGGCGAAGCATTATTTGCGGGTTTGCATACGGTCTCAATGCACCACCATATTGGGAGTACCATACTAGGAGCTTAAGCCTCGGACGGGTCTCTGGTAGGGTTGAGAAAGACTGGCACAATACGGCTAAATGTCCCGCGATACCCCAAAGCTCTCTGGCTTCATCTCCCGCAACGATTACAAGACCAAGTCTTCGGGACGTCTTCTCTGGACCATGAAGACCCATTAAAGCAGTACACGCGCCCAAAAAACATTGAACGAAGGCTTTCTTCCGAGCTTTCTCTCAGTGATGAAAAGCAGTTGAGTATCTAGCAAGATTGTACGTAATCAGCCACAACGATATACTTGACCAGGGCAAAACTATCGCCGGCAAGGTGCTTCGGAGCGTTTAATGCGGCATTGATTTAGTGGTTTTGTCTTTGCCGGTAGCTCGGGCGGTTCTCGGTCTTTTTCAGAACGACGAAATTCGGAATCCCTCGGCTCGGTTCCACGGTAACTCAAAAGTAAAGATAACCAGCAACACCATACCTCTTTAAGTGTTCGACGGTCAAGGACTCAAGGTATTCTACCTACGTTATGAAAAGATGCAAGTGCCCCCAAATAGTTCAAGACGAAGAGGTCGCCGTGGTCTAGCTATTAGACATGCTCGCATAGTTACTTGCTGGGCGAACTCTTAAAGGGGCATTCTTCATTTCAATCCTACTTCTGTTTTGCTCCTAAGGGATAAAAGATTTACGGCTCGGTGTGGTGCCCATGAAACTCAAAATACCTACAGCTCCTCAGTGGAAGGTCCTCCCAAGCCACACAAGGTAAATGGGACGTGTGGAACGCGGTGGTCCCTGACGACCCTATGGAGTTGAAGCCAGGTCTGCAATAGAATCACGAGAACGCTTACCTTTGTCTGTCATAATTTCGCGGAACCCCCCCTATTGTGATACATTTCACTTTAGGTTCGCATTTGAAGAAGATGCTACCTGTTTGGGAGTTGTCTCAAACCAGAATGCTCTACAAAATTGTGGCGTCAGCCGCCCTCAGGCACCAAGACCTGAATCCAAAACTCCGAGGAACTTTGTTGAGCATACCTATCAAGGTAGTAAAATGCTCTCAAACCGTCACATATAAATAGCTTTTTCCCCATAATGAATTCTTTCGGAGATATTCCTCAAGCACACAACGACGAAACATCTCACATTCCACCGCACAACGCTTCGGCATTAGTCACATCCACATCAACAACCATACCATACCACAGCGGCGTCGATCCACAAGAAGATCTACTAGAAATTAGCAAAATGCGCGTCTCAATGAGTTGCTTGGCGACCGTCGCCTTGCTCTTCGCCACCATCAGCGCTACCCCAGTGCCCGAGGAGGAGGGCCGCCCATGGAGAGGTGGAATCAATGTAAGTAGACAACACACTTGCCAAACCTACAGTGTCTCAATGACAAACGGCTAATCTTCTTTTCTGCCCTACAGGATGTAAGACACCTTGCCTGAATTTGCTAATGAGTAAGCCGCCGATTGACTGACAAAAGATTAAGGCTGGATGCTTGGTCCCATGCCTCAGAAGACTTTTCACGGATTACGCAGCGTGCATGGCCGAATGTACCGGTCCTTGAGATCCTTGCAATGCGGCTAAGGAACGGAGAGATCTCTGGACTTCTTTACTTCGGTAGAAAGAGGTAATGAGTCCTTAGCAGGAAGGCATCGGCATGAGGAACATACAATACGACGAATGCTTCTCGTTCTGAAAGTGGGTGTAGCTTGTCAAGTTCTGTCCATCGACATGAGTTCAACAGTCGAGCGTTGGTTGGGGGATTGGGATCGAACTCTTCTATTACCAGTCTACCAGTCTCAGTACAAAGTTTTCGAGCAACGTTGCCTTCGTGGCTGCCACCCAGCTCGTAATGGTGTCCCCCTGGGTCTGTTCGATTGCCACCTTGGAAAGGGAGCTGTTCCAAGATATTTCTTAGCCACTTTATCCTTTCTAATCATTAAAAAGATACTAACACGTGTGACGGATCACTGACTCTTTAGTTACCTAGGAGCAGCCACTGGCCTGTCACTACAGCCAGGCTGACTTCATATGGCCTCATTCTACTAGCCACTCGGGCAGCGTTGGGGACGTGATATCGCCCTGAGCTATGTCTCAGAACCAGAACTCGTGAGTCTTGAAGTTCGGAGAGACGGGCTGGGCTTATATTGACTAAGAGGACGAGTCACCCTTCCTCCGCCCCGGTGTCGAATCTTGTCGTGAAACTCATACTCATTCACTTCTCGTACTTGCCCTAATGAAGCAATGTTCAGACGATATTCCTCCACTAAACTTCCCAGCTGCGATTCACCGTCACACCACAATTACGACAAAACTTTCTTCAACAAAACCGCTCTCAAAGTCCGGTCTCCAGTCCACATATCTCGAGAAGCAGACTAACCAAGTCCTTGCAAACCCTGCAATACTCGTCAGAATCAAGTCGACACTGACTCACAGCTATGCCCTTACCGCCACGTCACTTCTAGGATGTGCACAATCCACATCATCAAATGCCGCGATTGCGACGCAATCGAATCGACATGGCGTCAATACTGCCCCTCCGCCCCACACAAGCGCCTCTGTCACCGGGGGAAAACAAGTCTTATCACAACGTACCTCCTCCGAGGCCACTGTGACCTCTGTCTG